TGGCTTGTGGAGACGGAGGACCAGCAGCGGGGATATGCTCCAGCTAATTATATGGCTGCCATGCCTCTCAGCTAGCAAGCACAGAGTAGTCTCTGGTTCATAGACAGTTGTGTGAGAGATGTAGAGTAATACATTTTTTGTTTTGTACATTTATTTTTTATAAAAAGAATTGTGTGCTAGATTTTTCTAGGCATTTATAAATGGAAACTTCTTATTATAAAGAAATAGAACAAAAAGTATTTTATGAGTTTTTGCCAAAGCTGTGACAAAAAGCAAGTTGAAAAATAACCAAAGAAAATTTTTTGTTTTTGTAATTCTCATTTCCGTCTGCACTCAACATGAAGCTTGTTCAATTCTTTGATTTCCTGTCTCTCTCTCACAGTCCTGCACAGACTGAATTCTTGAAGCCCACTGTACTATATATAATATAAATCTTAAGACATTGTAATTGACTTACAAATATATGTGCAAATAATTTGGATGTTGAACGCTCACATTCTCTCCCTTTACTTGTGTTCTAAGAAGTACTGTGGTTATGGTGATATATGTATCTACTAATCAATGTATTATGTGAATGAAGTGTATTAATGTATTACATGAATGAAGTATACAGTTTAACCAGTTATCCAAGGAAGCCAAGTTAACCTTAGCTATATACTTTTAGTTTGATGGTAGTCCTCTAAGCCTTTGACTGAGTTGAACTCTCTATATCATTGGTTAATGTCGAACATGCTGCTATGCAAAATTATTTTGTAATATTTCATGTCGCAAATGTCACTTTTTATTGTAAAGACTCTGTAAAAACAGCTGTGTAAAGTAGGACATGTCCTATATCACTGCTGAATTTTGAGTCTGCTAAGAATCAATGGATAACATGTTGAGTCTGTGATGAAATTTCTAGTGTCTGTGATTGGTTCAATTAACTAAAAGAGTTTTTTTTTGTCTGTGATTCTTTTGTACAAATGTTTTTTTTGTTTTGTTTCACTGTAACTTAATGGAGAACCAAACACACAGTTTGCCTTTTGAGAGAAAAAAAATGTTTCCCTTCAGTAAGTCTCAGATCCAGTGCTTCAGGGACAACCATTGAGTACAATAAACTCCACATTCATTGGAGAAACCCAGTCGATGCACAGTCAAACATTTACTAGTTCTAAAAGTGAACAAAAAAACCAACTTGTTCACATGATTATTAACTATGCACACAGTTGGATAAAGGGGAACAACAAAATCTTTAACCAGCACATAATTTGACATTCTGGGTTTTTCACATGGAGTATTTCAATGTTTTTTTTTTGTTTTATATTTATTCCAAAATTTGTTCCTCTTTTTCTACATATTGTTCATTCCAGCTGTTCACCTTTTCTTTTTTATAGATTATGTGTCCTGTTGCTAACAGGAATCCAGTTATGTCTGAGTCTCTGTGTTAACTCTCTTTGTTCCATATTTTTAATGTTCTTTATTTTGTATACATAGAAAATCTTTCGATCTCCAGTCAATCAAACTGAGCTAAAAACAAAATGATTTAGTTTTTTTCAATTTGTCTAAATACTCACCGACACTATAATAATCTCATAAAATTTACAGTTTTATTATTTCTTCTGAAGTTAAAACTAAAGTCAATGTTGCACACTTCTAGAATTCTTTTAGTGTCCCCATATTTGACAGAATTTTATTCGAGTCAACTTATTTTTTTATTACTATTTATTTGTTTATTTATGTTTATAAACATATTTTAATGTGTAATGAAGTGTTCTAACAAATGTTTTCTGAGTAGTTAGCATGAACAAATCTAGTTAGTATTTGCTTGTCTGCTATAGAGCTAGACTAGTGTATGTATCATTAACACAGTGCCCTTAAAGTGCCTATGTGCCATGTTTTTTAAACCATTTTACATTTTTTAGTCCTATTATTTCTCCATTAAAGAAAAAAAATTATTCAAAAGTTGTAAAGCAAAAAGAGAACATAAAAAAAAGTGCATTAAGAAAAATGAAACTTAGAAGGTATAGTCATATCATGTAGCAACAATGAAGATCAAGGTATTTTTTGTTCCTGTCTGATTTGATGAAATGTGTCCTATGAGTCAAATAACACCAAATTTAACTTCATAAAACTGAGTACACCAGTGATGCCCAAACTACAGCCCGGGGGCCGCATCTCGTGCTTCTATCCGGCCCGCCAAAACATTGGAAAAAAAGAAAGATGTAAAAAAAATGTAAAAAATTAAAATGTTGAAAAAATATTCTCTAAGTTAAGGATTCTCAATCATTCTTCATTGGATTGATCTTTATGCATGGTATTCTAATATTCATAGTCAATATTTTTTTTATTGTAAGAACACAATGGCTATAAAACTTGACAGCAATTTTTAATTCTTGGAAAATTCCATTACCGTCTTAGCTCGCTGTGTCCTTGACACCTAGTGTGTGCAACACAGAGCATCATTGATGCATCGTTTTGGGTCGTGATCTTTTGATGTCAAAGCCATTGGTACCGTAGTGTTTAACGTGTGTGATTGAATGAAATGGGAGGAGCCTAAGTGGACTCTGAATGTAGAAACATTCAAGAAAAGTTTAATAGATAAGCCAACATGTTTCACTTGTAAAGAACATAACATTAAAAGGAATTATGAAGCCAAACACATATGGTGGCATTCTTGGTTTGAGCCGCGAAGACAAGATTGCCAAGTTACGACTAGAGATAATGGGATTGACAAGAATATTTAACAAAAAGAGACAAGAAAATGAGTCGGCGATAAGGGCCAGCTACGGAGTTGCTCACATCTTAAGTAGAGCAATGAAGTCTTTTTCTATGGCGAATGTGTAAAAAAGTGCTTGCTAGCACTGATGGAAGAAATGTGTAATGAAATAGAAGAATGCAGTAGAAGCTGTCAGCCTTTCTCGCATGACAATTACAAGGCGAGTGGAAGATTTGGGTGAAAATCTGCATTCACAATTAAAAGACAGAGCAGCAGAATTCGAAATGTTTTCTATTGCTGCTGATAAGTCCACTGATATAACTGATACTGCGCAACTCTTGGTATTTATTCGCGGTACAAACAGCGATTTAGATATAACAGAAGAGTTAGCAGCTATGAGGAGCATGCATGGGACTACAACTGGAGAAGACCTGTTCAAAGAAGTGTCAACCATCATAGAGAACCTTGCTCTTCCTTATAATAAATTAGTTGCAGTGACTACTGATGGCGCTAGAAATATGGTTGGATGTCACAGCGGACTGACAGCAAGAGTTATTTAAATGTTGTTGTTTCTTGTTGTTGAGTCAGATAGAACTGAACCCCTGGGTCTTCACTGCATCATTCACCAACAAAATCTCTGTAGAAAGGTTTTGAATCTGGACCATGTGATGATGGTTGTGCTCAACACTTTAAATTTCATCAAATCACAAGAACATTGAATCACAGAACTTTCAAAGATTTTCTGACAGAAATATAGTCCGAATATGAAGACGCTCTATTTCACAGTGAAGTGCAATGGGGGGGGGGGGGGGGGGGTTGGTTAAGCCGAGGAATGGTTTTAAAACGTTTTTTGATTTGAGACACGAAATTGAAATATTTATGACAGATAAATCAAAACAAGTGCCACAACTGAACGACCCCTCATGGTTGTGGGATTTGGCTATTTTATGCGACATCACATCACATCTAAATAAACTCAAACACCAAACTACAAGGGAAAGACAAATTGATTTCGCGTGTGTATGCAAACATATGTGCTTTCCAAGCGAAATTGCAACTCTTCATTCAAAAGTGCATCTTGACCACTTTCCAACCTGTACCACTCTACAAAATGATAAGCAGCTAAATATGTCTTTCCCAATAGAAAGAATGATCCAACTTCTGAGGCTCTTGGTGAATAATTTCAGTGAAAAATTTGTGGATTTTCAGAATTTAAAAAATAAAATCCGTTTGCTGCCGATGTACAAGTACCCGGCAGATCAGCAACTGGAACTGATTAACTTACAAAGCCTTTCCTGCGTGACAAATTTCAAGTGGTGCAGACCTTTGACTTCTACTCGCGTGTTACCTGCAGAAGCGTTTCCAAATCTTCGAAAACAAGCGCTAAGGATGATCCCAATGTTTTCAAGCACTTATTTGTGTGAACAAACTTTTTCAATGATGAAACGGGCGAAAACCATGTGACGCAATTGCCACACGGATGAACATCTTGATTCAGTGCTCAGACTTTGTGTTTCATCTATGCAGCCAGATATTCAGAAGATGGTTTTGGATAAACTTCATGGATCACATTAATTTATGTAGGTGAGTATTAAAAATAGTTTATTGTATATTTAATTTTTTTTTTCTTGTTGGTGATATGGCCCGCGACTCGAATCGGAAAATTAAAACGGCCCGCAGACCAAATAAGGTTGGGCATCACTGAGTACACTATCTATTCTTTGATTCAGTTCTTTTGTTTTCTTTCAAGAAAGTGTTTTACTGCCTCATCCCTCACACATCTCACTTCTTGACCGTCCATTTATTTATAGAGTTATATCCTAAAAATAAAACCTTTGGTCGAGGTAACTCTGTAGGTACTATTTATACCCTAATTACTTCCCCTCCTCCTCAATGGCCAAACATTTCTTTTGTTGAATTAATTTTAGTCTCTATTGACCTTTTTTTTTGTGTGCAAACACTTTCTTGCTAGATCTTTACTGACCTTTTTTTTTGTGTGCAAACACTTTCTTGCTAGATCTTTACTGACCTTTTTTTTGCGTGCAAACACTTTCTTGCTAGATATTTACTGACCTTTTTTTGTGTGCAAACACTTTCTTGCTAGATCTTTACTGACCTTTTTTTGTGTGCAAACACTTTCTTTGCTAGATCTTTACTGACCTTTTTTTGTGTGCAAACACTTTCTTGCTAGATCTTTACTGACCTTTTTTTTTTGTGTGCAAACACTTTCTTGCTAGATCTTTACTGACCTTTTTTTTGTGTGCAAACACTTTCTTGCTAGATCTTTACTGACCTTTTTTTTTTTTTTTTTTTTTTTTTTTTTTTTTTAAATCTGACTTCTTGCAGTTATAAATATAAACATTGTATTTGATGTTGGTAGTTGACTTGCTATGCAAGGTTGATTGCAGATATAAATTGATGCCCTAAAAAAATGTGTTTCATTTTTTTTAAATTAATGAAAAGACAAATGTGTCAAAGATTTATGTTGTTTAGAGTTACTGATGAGATGGCATTAGGAGTCAAAAGAGTTTTGAATGACTTCTTTGAGGTAGTACAAGAAATGAAAGAAAGTCATTGTTTACTAAGTCCATTGTTCTTAATAAATAGGAAGTGGGACCTTTGACCCTTCTGATGTTATGACATGATTAAATTCATTTCTCTCTAATTCTTTACTTTCTTATCTTCCCTGGGCCTTACTTGATGCTACAAGTTAAAACTTACATTGAATGTTTATGTAGCTGTATCATCTCATGTCTGAATCTACAACCCACTCTTTACAGTCACTTGCCTGCATAATATTCTTAAGGATCTAAATTTGCTGGGTTACATATATGTATTTTAATCTGCCATTATTTATGCATAATACACTAAAAAAATAAATAATTTTTAAACAATTTGGTGGTGTTTTTTTTTTAATTAATTTTTCAAACCAATTTTATTTTTTTAGCAGACCCCCCCCCCCCCCCCCCCGGTCACCATTTCAAATCCTTTTCTCTCCATCTTTAAAATAAACCTATAAAATATGACGATCTGTCTGGCAGAAGTGAAAACCTTTCATTATCTGTTGATTTTGATATTCACGGGATATATCCTAAGACAAGACCAAACATGTTCACCCAAGGCCCAAAGAGCAAGGCCTTCCTTGTCTTAGAAGAACATCTGTGGGCACCATTTGAGAAGAAACTGCGGAAGTTGGTCATGACAGATCTCTGTGGAGAGAGCTTTATGGGAGCTAAGGATTTAAGTCTCAGATTGTCAGCACGATAAAGGAGATGGGGAAATCGGATTTTCACGTTTTGACGGGGAGACGCAATTCTAAACTAGATTGTCTTTTCCTAACGGGGGACGCTAAAAGAAATGACTTTCCTGTGTAATAATGCGTGTCTTTAAAACAAGATTATATCCTCTACTTGTAGTTGCCTATAATTGATTGCTTTTGTTTTGTTAACCAATATATTGTCATTTGTCTGTATGTATATCTTAATGGACTTCTATTTCCTGACGAATGCTAATATCATCGAACGATTGACGTCAGAGCCATTTATGACCCGGATGTGGTTGACTGTGTCGAATATAGGGATGATACCGGATGCTAGTCGGAACATTTTTCTTGGCCAGGTGGCTAATTGTGGTAGTTGAAGCGTATGAAGCACACACCCCCTCTCCATGCTTATTTGGTTATAATCTTCGTACTAGTCATTGAATGAAGAGTGACCACTATGTTCTCAATGTGGAACGTTTTAAAATTCTGAAAACATTGCCTCGTTTTTATTCTTTTAATTAAGTGTCTGTTGAGTAATTAGCATCGAAACATTTGTTTAGTCAAGAAATTTTTTCGACCAAATCATTGAGGGGGGGGGGGGGAATGAAAGAAACGGTGAACATGATATTGGCTAAAACAAATGAAATAAATAATCAAATAACTTCCTATCAACTAGAAAGTGGGGAATGACCCAAAGATCTACGGATAGAAGCCTTGCCAAGGCAGGAGGGAAAGTTATTAGAGAAATGACGCCATGTTGTTTGCTCTTTCGTTGGTTTGTAGCGCCATCTAGTACAAGTAGAACGACGTATCAAATGTTGAATCTAGTACTTGAACTAAACTTGAACAGACGTCTGGATGTTGAATCTAGTACTTGAACTAAACTTGAACAGACGTCTGGATGCAATCAAACTGAAAGAATATCGAACTCATTACAAATACACGTCCTTCCTTTTGTCTCATGTCTCGAGCTAATGTTCCTACCACTTTCACACCACTCTTCAGCCTACACAACCAAAACCATCCGCTCCTGGGTACATCATAAGTACGCACACACACTCCATAACACGCAAGTTTTATAAATATTTTGCCACTTATCTGAATGATTAATGAATTATAGATAAACTCTTTGAACTCTTTACTATCTCAGACCCCTTTTTGTTTCAGAACTTTGCTATTAAAAAAAATTCTTTAAAAAATCAACTCAATTACTTTTACGTACTATTACTTAATACATTAATACATAAGACCCTACCCAACCAAAAAAAAAACTTAACTATAGTTGTACAGTCTTTGTGTATATATATACTATATATATATATATATATATACTATATATTAGGGGTGCACCGGATAGTACTTTTTGATATCCGGCCGGAGCCGGATAGTAAAATTAGATATTCGGCCGGAGCCAAATACCTACATGACTCAAACAGCTCGTTTTACTGAAGTTTTTGCAAATCTTCTATATAACATATCTATATTCATATTATTTTGTTATTACTTTCTTGCTTTAAACTCTATCACTGATTGATAAATTAAAATCAACAGCATTTTTTTTTACAGATATGCTTATCATAAACTAATCTTTGTAACATGAGATGGTGTGTGCGTATGTATGAGGCCGCTAATTGTAAAGTAGAATGTGGGATAACTCATGCAGAATATAAACTTATATGTAACTAATGTAAATCTTTCAAAGGTAAAGTTCAATCTTGGTTTTATAGCGTAAATCACTCTTAAGTACAATCTAATTTGTATAGTGGGTAGATGTTTGTGTGCATGTATTTTACACCATCAACTTGTCATTAGGCTCGTGTTTTAAAGGCCACAAACCGCTTCTGGTTTGTACCTTATACAGATAGTGGCTTAGTAAATAGTAATTAGTAATTCCAGTAATATCGAGGAGTTACTTGACACTCTTAGTTTAGCATTATCACTATTAATATCCCACAATTTAGCTTTGTCTAAGACCTCTTTAATCCCTGGTTGCTGCTTGTGTGTGAGGCTTAACGAATCCCTGGAGCTCGTAGACGTACTGGCACAGGCAGTGATATTACTTGATGCTGATTTCAATGCAGTCATTTCGTTGAATAAGTCTGGGTGTTTCGAGCGTAGATGACTAATCATATTGCTGGTTGAGAAGTCTTTAGGTTTGCCTAGTTTACCACGTGACAGAACTATTTTACAAGCATTGCAAACTGCTTTAGAGTTGTCCATTGTTTTGACATTAAAGTAACGCCATATAAGTGATGACTTTTTATTAGCCATTATTATTACTTTTCAATTTACTAAATGCCCTTGCAAGCCACTTTTATACCCGTGACTTGTGTAACAAAATACTTGTAGGGGTGTGTCCTGTAGTTCAGCGCTCTAATTGACATTTCTCTCCAAGTAAACAAACTTAGTGTCATCATCTAGTGACCTCTAGACAGTGTCAATATGTCTTAACAATTTGCGTTAATCCATTCTGGCTTAAGAATGGTCAATGTCTATATTCTCTATCAATACATTGTCATGGATTAAAAAAATAAGAAGTTGGGGGTGTTGAGTCTCTTGAGCCCTCCCTTTAAAGATACCCTCGGTCAGTGTCTGTTTGGCTTGTAGTCCTGACTCATAATTGAGCCTTAACTCAAAGTAAACAAACTTATTACTCGTCCAATAGTATAAAAAGTGTGGTTTGTGGTCCAGACCCTTGATTGACAACCTATCTCATAATAAACAAACTCATACCAAATTAACCTTATAGAGATTTGGCCCCTAATAAAAATTCTACTCCAAGTAAACAAACTCAGTTCCCTCATAAGATGTGACCTCTAGACAGTGTCAACAAGTTGACATCTGGCTTAATGTGGTCAGCTGCCTATCTGTGAACTCAATGTTATGGACTAAACAAACAAAAGGAGGTGGGGGTAACTCATCTCTACCTCTGGAGATATACCCGCACATCTAGACAGATTATCAGCGTGACGTAGTTAAGGAATATGACATGTTTACTAGACCACTCAAAGATAAAGACAAGCCAGTGTGCCAGACATCGCTGCTACGTATGTAATACGAATTTATAATGTAAAGTCTAGTCCCCCCCCCCCCCCCCCCCCCAATAACAAACCTAGTTCCCTCGTGTGACCATCGTATCTGATTTGGGGTCACCTGTCAATCAATGAACTCAATGTGATGGGCTAAACAAATAAAAGGGGGAGGGAGTTGTTCATCTAGAAATATACCTGGTTACCTTAGAGGTGTGGTTCTTGTAGTCCAGCCCCCCCCCCCCCAATAAAGATTAACTACTAAGTAAACAAACTCAGTTCCCTCGAAAGGTGTGACCACTAAAGAGTGTCTATACGCTGACATTAAACCTACGTCCATCGTATTTAACTTGTGGTTTCATGTCCATAAAAAATTCAATGTGATGGACTAAACAAATAAAAGGGGGTGGGAGTTTTTTATCTCTACCTCTGGAGATATAACCGCACAGCTAGACAGACGTCTGGTCAGCATGACGTTGTCAAGGAATGTAACATTTTAACATGTTAACTAACTTACTCAAAGGTCAAGACAAATTGAAAAAAGTGCCGGCCATTGCATCTCGGTATGTAAAGGGCATTTATGATGTAAAGTTTCATCTCTATTTATATTAAGTTATTAACATGCCTTGTCTTTATAATAAACGATGTTTGGTGCATATTTATAATGGCTCTATTTTTAAGCACATTATTTTGTTTTCATATAAACATTAATACATTCTATAACAGACAGTAATGGAACGAGGTCCACTTTATGCATATTAAATAGATGTATTTTTTACTATCCGGTTTACAATCCGGTAGTGATATCCGACCGGAGCCGGATAGCACCGGATAGTAAAAAATGCCGAATATTCGCCAGAAGCCGGAGCCGGAGGGACTATCCGGTGCACCCCTACTATATATATATATATAGGGTAAGATGTTAGTGGATTAGGGTTCTCAATTTAAAAAAAAAATGCACCCAAAGTTTATTAGGTCTTCGAGCAGATAGAACGTGCCCGTGCTGAAAGTATGCACAAACACTTCTTGGGCTCACCAGCTGTAGCCGTCTGGTCTGCCTACATTGTAACGCTCACACAATCCACACATTACGTTTAAAAATAAATTTGGCCCTTGTAAATTCAGTGGAACAGCCAGCGTTACAATAAAATCACATCATTTTTTGGCATTCTCCAATAGAAAGCTCTCATTCGTGTTCCTATCGTTCGATGCCGCCTCCGTGCTAGATATATTTTTTCTACCCGTTAATTATTGAAATACTGATACAAATTTATTCAACTTTTGGTCTTCCTGCATAACAATTTGAAAGAAGTAAATGATCTATTCACAGATTCATCTGCTTTTTACACTGTGTCCGTCATAGATCGAGATTTAGAACAACCCATCTCAGAGGTTTTCTCTTTTTATTTGATAGACAAAATATTTCTTTTGTTGGTTTTTAAAGAGATACGAATCATTTTTTTTTTTAACAGTGGGTCAAAAAGTAAAAGGCTTTTTATTTATGGAGCATGTTTTTGTTCTATCATTCATTAGGTCTTATGAGTGGGGCCTACACTATTCACTATTACGAAACAGTCTTCAGCTTCGTAAAGGAAATATTTGCC